CATGTGAAATGATATGACATTTACTATATAAAAATTATTTTACTCCCTAATATTTGAATGTTTGCCTACATTAGCCTTCTAACTGATGTTAGGTTTTGATTTTGCCCCCAGGTGGAATTGTTGAGTCGGGACAGACATGGTCCTCCCTCACTCTGCTTCAGAGGATTCTGGAATAAAAAAAAGTCCTCTGTGCCATAGGTTCCTTGTGATTCTGTTACTCCATGTGTCCCTGGTCAGGGGTTATTACTAAGCAATGCCCAAAGTATAAAGACTGAAAGAAAGCTTAGCTCAGTATAGAGACAAGTCCGAATCTGACCCTGTGATGAAGCTAACAGAAGAGATGATGCGGAACAATTGAACCCTGAGGTGGGACATGTGAGGTTTCCTTGAAGGCTCACAGGATCTGTGGTCTTTGGGACAAGTGATAATGATCCAGGACACATCTGGAACCATGTCCCTGGCGGACAGCTGACAAAGCTGGAAAAGGAGGACCACAAGCAAAAGAATATTTTCTTGCAGAAGACAGAGTCTGTGCTATTGTGTGATCACGTCTCCACTGACGATGAGAATGAACAATGATCATTTTGAGCAACTGCTCCAGAAAGTACAGCCACTGCTCATCCTGGTAACTGTTCTGTTCCAGGATTTTGGCATGAAATGGATTTTTAATACACAAAACTTTGCTAAAAAAAATGTTTAAACTTTGCAATCTGGAGCAACTGTTGGACTAAAACTCACCAATAAAAGAGGAAAAGTGCAAATTGAAGACAGGGGTCAAAGTCTAAATAATAATTTGTCTGTCACAATTGTATTTGTCTCTGTTCAGGCTCAGCGTTAACACGTAAGAGTTCTATGACATTAATAAATACCATTATTTGTGTTAATTCATATGACTGTGTATCATGGGTCATGGTAAACATGCTGTGGTGTCAGTGTGGAGCAGAAAGCCATCAAGGATTCTGAGGGAATCTTTGGAGCTCTGTGGCTTCCCACCCCAACAACACATTAATGTGGTCCTCACAATTTCTTTTTCCCTTTTTCTGCCACATAAGGAAACACAGGATTTTCTAGTGCATCTGAATGTGACACTGAATGACAGTGGATTAATGTGTAGCTCAGTGAAATATGGGCAGTACATAAAGAAAATCCGAGGTGGATAGAACATTTTTCATGAAGATGCGAAAAATAAAAGGAGCAATCCTTATTTTAAGATTCAACGTTTCCCTTTCAATGCACTTTGAACCCGGTTTTCATTCACCTCGCCCTCTGAATCCTCTGGTGAGCTCTGGTTCTACAGTCCGCGCTCAGTTGAGCACAAGTTGGATGAAACTTTCCAGACACGCTGACCCACGCACGGGCGACACGAGCTGCGTGCCGCCAGACTCGAACTCGGACACATCGTCAAAACGAAACATGTGGTGCAAGTGAAACCTTACATGAAAACACTGAAGCGTCCCTGCTGCGTAAATACACGTCTTCACTAAATCCTGCAGACACCCCCCCCCCCGAACATGAGAGAAGAAACAAGGCTTTGGAGACGAGATGAACCGGGAATACGCACACCGGTGCAGCGTGGTGGATGGTGCAAACCTGTCCTCCAGACCCGCGTGCTTTAACAACATGAGTGCGCACAGAAGATGAAGGGAATCGACCTACCGGCTCCTGCTGACAGCCGCAGTCAAGTTGCTCAGTGACGGATGTGGAGAGAGGGACGGAGTCTGCACGGCGAGAGAGACGCGCTGGTCAGTTTGAATGCGCACCCCGTGGTGCACCGGTGCAGCGTGGTGGATGCTCTCTCTCTCTTTCTCTCTCTCTCTCTCTCTCTCTCTCTCTC